CACTTAACTGTGCCAGCCGAGTATTCTCGGTCGGCGGGAAACTGCGCCAACCGAGAAAACTCTGATTTTTTTAACCAATTCTAAATGTGTACGAGGTTGGTTGTGTACGAAATGGACTCTTAGGACCTCCAATGAGAGGCAGCCATCTTGGAAAAAATTCCAAGAATGCCCTAGGGCTGCTGGCTGGGTTAGTACTGAATGAGCAACCATGGGTGGCTGGCTCCACATGCACCTCTGGCTCCCAAACACCTGTTTGACGCGGTGTTGAAAGATAATGCTCTGTCGGTGAAATTCAAATCTTATTGTTTGAAGAACATAAGGGTCATAATATTGGGGAAGCTAGTCGCAATAAGGACCTAACACAAAGGTCGGATGCAAGTGATACAGCACCTATGAGGACGATACAGCGAGCGTATCCAGTTGTAGCTCTGAGCATCACCCTTGCAATCCTATGCTATCTACAATTTACTTAGATGATACACAGATGAATCGTTTTCTGCGTTCAGTGATGATGCATCTGATACAAATAACATAGATGAACAGTGTTAGCGGCTTCCATGGTGGTGTTTTCCATAGATATTTTCAAGAATACCTGAATCTCTTCCTAACTGACGGACACTCTTGAGGTAAGCCGAATCTCTTCCTGTGTGAGACCATACAAAGCGATCTTTTCCTATAATCTTTTCAATCCTACCTTATGCTTTACAAGCTTGGCTACATACAACCTACAAGTACTAAAGCCAAGGGTGTACGTGAGTGCATTATTTGCAAGCACACAGAATGAAGAAACAGAAAGCGAAACAGTGTACAACAGTGTACCTGGTGCACTGAGAGCGAAGTCGCGCTGTGTACCATGGGCTACTTCGTTGATTATTACTCACTTCCGAAGTACTGAGTGTGTAATGCAGTATGTTACTGTGTAAATAGTGTGTGAAACTGTACATATTGTAATTTTAATGAATTTTTAACAGGTAATATTGCAACAATAAACATTTATTGTGGACACATGTATGTCCACATGTGTGGACACATGTTCCAGGGAACATTATGAACGTTCTACTGTATACATATTGTAAAGGACACAAATATGCATCATATACGATAAAAAAACATAAAATCGTATTGGAAATACACAAAACAAATAATTGAAAATATATTTGTGGCAACACCCGGTGCTTGAATGGCCCGCACGACCGTGTCTGGGCGATTCACCCACGGGCGACCAGGCCCTGATGACGTCACAGCGCACTTTGTCCACGTCCCCACAGCCAAAGTAAGTGGAATTTGGTATTTATTTTTACAGAGACATGTTCAGGGAAGGGAATTTATAATTTTACGAAGAAAAAATAATTTTTTAGGAACACTTTCATGCGCACCAGGGGAATTTCACAAACTCCGCACAGCACGGTGGTTAAACACACCACATAGAATAGGGGTAGTCATCGGCGAGCCACACCCGACCATAAACAAACGCCACCTGGGAAAAAAATCCTGCATAGGCCGCCTTTGTGTAGAGGCCTCAGTTACCCAGTGGACATCATGGCGAGCGCATCAAGTTCCAACGACCGACCCCGCTCAACGAGGTGTTCCTTGCGACCTCTGACCGAGGACGAAATTAATAAGAATTTGTTACCGGATGGTGATGAATCTGATATTGACGACTCAGACTTTGATCATGACTACACACAGCCCTCAGAGGTGGATACGACAGACAACGAGTGTGAACATGCTGGCTCCACCAGGGCGAGGCCTAGCATCTCGCCCATTGACCAATATTGGAGCAAAGACCATACTGTTACAACACCAATGTTCGGCAAATATATGTCTCGAGACCAATTTGCAATAATCCTCAGGTGTCTTCATTTTGCAAATGATGAAGACCAGAATGATGATGATAGACTTTGGAAGGTAAGGCACATTCTGAATGAACTTATTGGAAAGTACAGGGATTTCTACATACTAGCTCAGAAGCATGTGATTGACGAATCCCTTGTGCTTTTCAAAGGACGTCTTACCTTCAAGCAATATATTCCCTCCAAACGCCACCAATTTGGATTGAAATTCTTTGTACTGTGTGACTGTGAAACAGGAATTGTGTTACACATGATCATGTATACGGGTACATATGTAGACATTCCTGCTAATGACCAACATAGGTTCTCAGGTAGTGTTGTGAAGTCACTGCTTGCACCATATCTGAACAAGGTCCACATATTGTACACATAACTATTATACCAGTCCTTTGCTAACCAGGTTCTTGCTTGATAATAGAACTGGAGTGTGTGGCACAGTGAAGGCAAAACGAAGGGAAATGCCAGTGTTTCACACTGCTATGCAGGTTGGTGATTGCGAGCTAAGGAAAACGGGTGCTATGCTTTCAGTGCGGTGGAAAGACAGGCGTGAAGTGAACATGTTGATGACCATTCACAATGGTACAATGGTGGACAGTGGCAAGGTGAACAGAACAAACACAAATAATCTATAAGCCAGACTGTGTCTTGGACTATAACATCAACATGCGTTTGGTGGATAAATGTGATATGATGGTGGGGGCAGTAGTGTGTACGCAAAACAGTCAAGTGGACCAAGAAAATGTTTTTCCACCTTGTTGATGTAACAATGCTGAACAGTTACAATATGTATCTTGTCAAAACAGGTGGTAAACAAAATTTCCATGCGTTCAGTTTTACTGTAGTGACACAATTACTAGAGAAATTTGGCAAAGTAATTCCTGGCATACAGAGGCCCATTCTGAACCCGGTATTGCACCATGCTCCAACACCCAGGCTCACTTTCAAGGATGCCTTTGTCACACACAATCCCAGGTATTTACCACCAACTGCAAAGCGCGCTGTTGGCCAGCGTGAGTGCATTTGTATGCAAGACAACAACCAAGAGGCAACAGAAACGAAAAATGGTGATGACACCATCAAATGGTGATGGTGCACAGCGTGTCAAGTCCCTCTGTACTAAGTCAAATGTTTTGACGAGTATCACAGTCTTGATGGGTTCTAAATGTTCAAGACTGGTGCAAAAACATGTAAATACAGAATAAGTGGGTGTAAATATGGAAAATTAATCATAAGAGATAGACGTCACAGAGGTGACGTCGTCTGCACGATTTGTCTAGCTGTTTAGAGGGTGGCCACTATGCTCTTTGGGAGCACTACAAGCTTAGGTGTACAGTTACGGTGCACAAAACATGTAGATACTTATATATGTGTATATAGGGTAATAACACTGCAAACAGTATTGTTGGGGGAGAAAGTTTAGTGCGTGTGACCTTGAATGAGTGAGGGAGCCGCCAGCCGCCATCTGTGTATAGTGGCGACTCTTGGTGCCTGAACTAACTATATCAGCTTAGCTGTACAGTTGTGGTGAACAAAATATATACATACTTATATATAACGTCTGTATATAGTGTAATAACACCACAAATGGTATTGTTGGGGAAGAAAGTTTAGTGCGTGTGTTGAGGGAGTGGCAGCGAGTGGCTGGCTGGTGTGTGGCGGTAAATCCTCGTTGCTTTTCGACTCTCAATACCAACTTAGTGGTTCGTTATGGTGACCAAAACATGCAGATACTTATATATAACCTGTGTATAGAGTGTAATAGCAGCAAAACTATTTGTTTATTGTTTATAAACATAATAATTGAATCACTAATATGCACATCATACTTTTGAGTATAGCGATTATTCACCACTTTTATTATATAAATATATTATAATACACACTATTGAATAATATTACTGCAAAAAAACTAAGAAAAAATCAATCGGAGACATTCAAACAATTAGGTAATATCTTTGTGACAACTCCCATCTGTCAGCGCGGGTGACGCTGACCGGGTCTGACGACCGCTCTGTCAACGCCCACTTTTTGCCAGACTTCCTCGGTCAATTGCGCCCAAAATGTCACCTACGATTTTTTTTTTATTTTTCCCATGCTCAAGGGACACAAATTAACATGTTTAGAAGACGAAAAAAAAAATTTGAATTTTTTTTTCTTGCGCATAGGGGTGTAAATATCCTCAGGACCCCTGAGCAGTGTAAGGGTTAAGTTTGATCATTTTAATACACCATTTTATGTCCGGTGTAGCAACTCAAGAGGACGGGCTGATCAATCACCCACAAACACTCAACATACTACGGCAAGAAATGTAATGATATGGATAAAATTCTTATCTGACCCTTATCACATTCTTCAATGACATGATCAAACCCACATTTATGGGAACATACACATGTACATGTACTGTAGTGAACAGGTATATTAATGAAATGATTAGTGACCACACACAATGGAGAAATTGTAGACAATGAGTCACAATAACAAGGCTGAAGACAGAATGACCAAACCACACACCAGAAGTTGAAGAAACGGCGACGTTTCGGTCCGTCCTGGACCATTATCAAGTTGTATGTGATGGGAGAGAGGAAGGCACGGGCAATAAAAAGGAGTGAGGTGACGAGAAGGTAAGGAAAGAAAGTAATTCTAGAAAAGGAAAGGTGTAAGGTGGGGACCAGATAAGAAAAGAAGGTTATTCCTGGAAGAAGGCAAGAGAAAGGCAAAAAGGAAAGAATAGGATGAAAATAATAACGACTGAAATGTTGTCATTTCTTCATCTTCTGATGTGTATTTTGGTCATGATGGAAAAATTAATTGTGAAAATGGGAAGTAAATGAAGATACCTCACTAATGAATGAAAAGGTATGAAGAACTTGTGAAATGGTGAATAAATTGTTTTCACTCAATGGGTATTGAAGTTTAAGTAAATTATTTCAGTCTCTCTTAAAGCCTACTATACCAGTCCAACTCAAGTCATGCAAGAATGAAAGAGAGTGAGTTTAGGTCAAACATATCAATCAATACATTTAAAAAGCCAATACTGTACTGCACCTCATATTACATATCCCATTCATTTGACACAAACAAATCCATCATTTGAGAACAACCCCTTGCAGGTAGGTGGTTGTTCTCAAATTAATTCACACTTACTGGTCCTAAGAATCCAAGAAGGCCTGTCCTGACAAATGAAGAACTGTCTGACATTGGTGTGTTGTCTGGGAGCAGAGGCTGAACTTTGAAAGTGGTGTTGGTCATCCCCTGAAGACCCCAGTACTGGTCACCAACAGCTCCACCAGCCACACAGATCTCTCCGACTTCATCCGTTCGACACAGAAAAGGTTGGCCTTCTAACTTGACAACTATGATCATTGCTGGAGATAGAGAGAGAAACAAATTCATTAAATAGTCCCTTGTCATAAGAAAACATGACATATAGTAGCATGTTAGATATCATACATTAATACAGCAAACTACTGTATATGTGGCTGCAACATTTTGTTCATATGCTGAAAACTATCCACTTTAAAAAACAAATGGTAACAAAGGTTTTGCATTATGGCTTTATTATTTCAAAGAATTTAAAGAGTAACAAATTATGAACAGCAAAACACAATGAAAACAGGAATATATAAGCTAAAACCCTGCATTCTTTTACATTTCTATTCCAAATACATATTTTTCCAAATTATTCACATTTGGAAGAAAAAAGTCAACTATCACACAGAATTGTACTTTTTAATTTGGAAGACCCATCATAATCCCCTAAAAAGAATTAAACTATTAGATACAGCCCTTCAACTTTCTAACTCTTGTTCTGCATTTTTTTTAATAGTCAATGTTTTGATGATAATAAGCTATCTTCTCTCACCAATTTTAACCTAAACAATGAACAGTCTACAGTAATGCTTTTTATAAACAAATTGCTGAAAATCATACAAACTATTCTTCTTCTTCTTCTTGCATTTGGCTTTCTCTTCCTCAAATCTTTCATTACTGGCAATTTCTCCCTGCACAAGTTTTCCTTGTACATGTGACTTTTATTCCTCTAATGTAGAGTACAGAGACCCTCTTAACAATTAATATTCCTACTCTCATACAGAAAGATAAAGCTCTACTTGAGCATATGGCAGTTTAAGTGAAATCATTTGGCTGATCTGGAGGGCACATGCCCAATGTTTAACTTTGTTCACCATTACAGTACAGTACTTATAGTTTATGACACCACACTTCCAATCCAAGTGTATGACCAGTATCCTTCACACACCCCAGTAACCCAAGAACTTTATTCATATTTAATTACCCACCCTTCTATTTATTTACTATATTCCCCTCTTTTAGTCTCAATGCTTCAAAAATTATCTCTTTCAGTTTTACAAAATGTTGTTATGACATTCCACCTGATATTGAGGTATTTCTTGCTGGTCACAATAACAAGTACAAGACGTTACTGACCCTGCTCATAAATAGTACACTTAGCTGGAAGATAAGTCTTTCCATCCAATAATAGGTAACTTGGATTTGTGACCTACATTACTGCATTTCCACCATGTTATTTATGGCAAACAACTCTCCAACCAACAGTATTGTCAAATAAACTTTAGACAAGTTATGAACCAAACCAAGAATAAACCAGTATTAGTACCAAAAATAAATATACTGTACAGTACCATCAGCTATCACTACACACGAATTTGATATGCACAAAATTCATTAAACAAGAGGTAGACATGTAATACAGAAATTCAGCAAACATGAGCGTTGTTCACTAAATGTGAGTTGGTGTTTATTTTCTTGTTTTACTCACTTTTTGGACATTCTTGAGTCATGGCATCTTCCACACGTTCTGCAACGCCTGCTGCACCCCAAGATGCCCCAATGAAGAAACGAAAGGTAATGTTTACTCACATCTACGGCATTGGTGAGTACTGTATTCAATCTATTTTATACAGCATAGTACATTTGTGACTACAAAGGGGTAATTCCTCTTTTCTATGTAATTGTTGAGTGTACATACCTACTATATAAAGTGTATTTATTTCTAGAGTAATTAAGATCAATGTTCATGTTTTATTGAAAGAATAGTAGAAAAAACTTGAGAGGGCCTTTGGAATGCATCCTTATTTTTCCCCACATAACAGTGACCATATCTTCTGCAAATTTGCTTATGAGTGAGAACATATGGGGGGGGGAGGCTCGTGACTGAGTGGATAGCACTTTGGGGTTGTTGTCCTGATGGCTTGGGTTTGATACCCAGTGAAGACGGAAATAAATGATCAGTTTCTTTCACTCTGATGTTCCTGTTCACCAAGTAGTAAATTGGTACCTGGGAGTTAGATAGCTGCTCTGGGCTGCTTCCTAGGAATGGGAATGTGTGTGCGCATGTGTTAGAGAGAAATATATGTAGGAGATAAAATAGAGAAAAAATAGATTGGTTAGAAAGGCGGGGTCCAAGAGCAAATAGCTCAATTCTACAGACACAAATAGTAAATACATGCACTAAATGAGAGCACTAAATTTTGAAAACACTAAATGTTGCAAAACCAAAGTGTAACAGGTTATCCGAACATGTTCAGTAGTTATGTTTCAAGAACTCAAAAGTTACAGTATCTTTCTCTAATGATGCCCCAATGTAGTACAGTATATGGTAAAGTGCAGTTATTGCTTTATATTTTTCATAAGACCTTTGTGCACTATAAGGTGCTTGATGCAATATCAATTTCTTACTGAAGATCAGTCACTCAAGGTTTCTACATGTTTCACAGAACCTCAGAAAAAATTTTTATGATGCCACTCTTCCATCACTTATAGAGCACTGGATGATATACTACCCTTTGATGGGCCAAGGAATAGAACAAAGTACAGAGCAGCACACTGCTATACATACATTCAGACACTACATATCAATTATATAGCCCTTGGTGTTAGTCTAAATAATCAACTTCCAGCTTTGCACGGTTGAATTTTATGCCCTTCACTAATATACTGGATACAAATTTGAACATTTATTAGTTCAGATTAGCCAACTATTACTCTTCAAAGGAATGATTTAAACCAAAAACATACTTTTGTGTAAATTTAACTGCACTCTTAACACAACCAGAGATAATTCAGCACTGAAACTGGTAGCCAAAAGAAATAGATTGTGAGGACTGATTCCATCAGCCAATAAGCATGGATGTGCAACCTGTCCTCTTAAAAAGAACGTCGCTTTTGGCCGTTTGCCCGTATGGCCGAATTTGGACGTAATTTGAAAATGAAAAAAAAATTAAAATAAATTTGGGATTTCTTTTTTCAACAACAGTAAGTTAAGGGTCCTCTGATAGGTTAGGTGGGCAGGAAATTCTCATAAAGTTTCAAAACGTTATGAAAAACGTGAATTTAAAGTGTCCTCTTATAACCTCTGCGCGTAAGGCGGACGACTCAAATAGAAAACGGAACAGAACGTCACTTTTGTGAGTCGATTTCATTTCAAATTACGTCCAAATTTAGCCATATCGCGCATACCAGCCAAAAGTGACGTTCTTTTTAAGAGGACGGGTTGGGATGTGAGCTATTTCTCTTGGCTAAGGTTGAAGTGTGGCTCACTGATGGTGTCACAAGTATGGCTGGTTTTAATTTTGGGGTAATGAATTTAGCTTATTCAAATGGATATTTGATCTCATTAAATACTGGATAATCAAATTAAAGTAATATTCAATAAAAAATTTACACCATAAAAACTATTTGGTGCATGGGAAAGTAATACACCTACAGTATTTTCAAACAGAGCATACAACACAGATTATTTTGATTCTTTACTTGCAAATTTGGCTCAGTGGAAACCCTTAAGTTCTTGGTAGCTCCCAACACTGAGGATTCTGACAAAAGAATAGAATGGTGACGCCAAAGCTGCACCTCATGCTGATTTTAGCACAGTAGGATCCTGGTAGTACAGCCAGGTTCATTCTGAACTCATAATCGAGAATTCCAGGTTCGAATCCCAGGCGGGACAGAAATGGTTGGGCATGTTTCCGATCACCTAATGTGCCTGTTCACCTAGCAGTGAATAGGTAAGCAGTAGTGAGTCAGCTTGTTATTGGGTTGCATCCTGGGAAGGTCAGTAATTCGACTCTGGGAGGGTGACCTTGATATAAGCCTAACATGTACTGTGTGTATAAACTGGCTGCCTGTTTCCCGACACAATGAATGATTAATTACGGTATTATATAACTGTTAGCAATGAGGCAATGTATGATAAATTATGAATAATTCTCACAGCATTATTAACTGTGACCCTAATTTTAAGCATAGCTCAGAAACGATGAACTGCTAGAATAACTTTGAAATTTACAACCAGAAGAAAATAACTTTTAAGCTAGAATAATACTGCTGTGGTATTGAGATATGACGTAAAATATAAAATATACAGTGACACCTCGGTCTACGAATGCCCCTCTTTACGAACTTTTCGGGTTACGAGCCCAATTTCTTTGTAAAATCCGAATTGGGTTAAGAACTTTGCCTCGAGTAACGTAGTTTGTTGATACGCATATGGCCGACCTAGCACATGTTGGCACAGTGACCGTGCCTCAGTTTACCAGTACCTCCCGCCTAGTGACAATCGCACCTGAATTCTTTGTAAAGAATTTCAGTGTTTTTCGTATTTCTGCGTATTTGAACATAAAAGTAATTATTATATTTCTCAACATGAGTCCCAAGAAAGTCAGTGGTAATGTTCAACCTAAGAAAATAGTTGTGAGTAAAGGCAGTAAAGGATGTCCCTTCCTCATTAAGAAAATGTGAAGTATGGGAAGAACTGCAAAGTTTTGTTGAAAAAACTCACCCAGATAAAGCTGTAACAGGCTGTTGCATTGACCTTTTAAATGACAATGGGATGTCTCACTGCAGACAAATGTTAAAATGTAGGGAAAACAAGTGTCTTTAGACAGATTCTTAGTAAGACAAGCAAGCAGTGAGCCACAACCAGGTCCTAGTGATACAGTACTCCTGCGAAACTTTGTAGAGAGAGTACCCCAGAGAAGTCATCCCTGCCTGATGTTATAATGGAAGGAGACTCCCCTTCCAAACAGAAACACCTCTCCTCCTCCTTTCCCCATCCTCACCGTCTTCCATACGTCAACAAGAGTCATCAATAAAAGTAAGCAATAACTTGTACATACTGTACTTTAGTATTAAAAATTTGGGTGAAAAAGGTATAAAATTTACTTTGAAGTTAATGTTTTTGAGTGTGTGGAACAGATTAATTCAATTTACATTATTTCTTATGGAAAAATTTGCTTCAGTTTACGAATTTTTGGGTTACGAACTGTCTCTGAGAACGGATTATATTCTTAAACGGAGGGGCCACTGTACCTTAAAATTTGACAAAAAAAAAAAAACTTAATTTCCTGGTCCTGAAATACTTCTTCTTTACCCATAAGATCCTTAACTAAATATTACATGGATTGATTTGACACGAGGTCTCAAAAATGCAACCTCATCAAAAACTGGGAGTCAACTGTACTGTAATAATGTCAAGAAACATTCCAATTACTACTTGTGTGTTTACTACATAAATAATGGTATATTTTAATTAAATCAAATATGCAATATTTATGTTTATATTATGAACAAAATGGGGCATAAGCCATAGATAGGAAAACTACAGGAAACATTTTGAGATATACCCTGTACTGAAGATAGTTCCTATAGTGAAAACTTCTTATCAATGCTGGTAATGATTTACAGCTAAAAACAATATGGGGAGAAGAAAAGTTTGACAAGCCTGGAGTGGGGTACTAGCAATATCGTAAACAATGACAGAACAACTCTTTGGTGCCAAATTGTTTCCAATGGGAGAAATAATACCAAGAGATGTTTGGGAATGGAAGAAAAGGACTGGTTGTTAAAAAGTAACCAGTGGTGTTAAGTATTGTACCAGCAGATAGTGATGGTGGAGGAATATACTGCAACTCAGTACTGCATATACACCATTAATATTTGAGAATTGGCCAACAGCAGCATAAGTTTAGGATGAAAAGACATCAGAGTAGAAGAGTGGAGAAACGAGAGAAAAATGCAACGTAAGGAAGGGTCTGAGTAAATTGGGGTTATTGGAGAAATGTAGGAGTGAAAAGAGGAATGATATGCATTTAAAGGTCTTGTAAAGAAAGTACTGTAATAACCCTATCTAAAGGTTCAGATTTATTAAGGAATTATTGTCACAGACACACAACTGTATAATGTAGATGTACAGTAATCACAAAATAATGTGTGACCTTACAACACTGGTATTGTTAACTGTGCATTCCTTCAACTGAGGGGGGTCTTGAATTAATACTTTGACAATGCAGCACAAAATTATCAAATACATATGCTAGCAGGCCTCAGAATATCACAAAGCTTCATGCGTGGAAGTTTAACAGGCTATGCCATACTGTACTAACACTCATAATTAAACACAGACATCAGGACATTACGATATTCAGATATCCAGATATTAGAAGATAGGGTGTCTGCACTTTAATAATGTCAGAAAGATAGCTGCAATAGCAAGTTACTCACCACCTGGTAAAACTTGTCCACAGTCTTGGAGTGTGAGGGAGGTGAGTGAATTTTCTTGGTCCACACGTACTACACCGTAACTGAGCCCCTGCATGCTCAACACTCCACGACCTACAGCATTGGCACCTCCATGACCTGGTCTGAAGGCAAGAATTGGTATTCTTACTTTTTATTCAGATGTAGGAAAGTTATATATAGTTATTAAACAACAAAAATTATTGTAAAAGTTTGAAGGAAGACTGGAAATTTAAAGCTTTATTTACCTCCTAACAGAGACAGTTAGAGCCTCTGGAGATGATGCACAAGGACAAATGGCATCTGGACGAAGCCCTTTACTTTGGAATACAGCAAGGAACTGATCACACGATGAAAGGGACCATGGGTTGGCTCCATCAGCTACCAAAAGCAGACGCAATGATTGAAGACTAACATCCTTGTGGTCTTTGGTGGCCAACAGCCCCCAGTGAAGGTCACGAGACTTCACAATGGCTATGCTTGCTGTAAATGAAATAAAACTCTTATACCATTTATATTACTAAACCTATCAGAGCTACAAGGATATACTGTACTTCATTTCTTCAGGTTATATTTAACTTCTTTCCTAAATTTAATGAAATGCACCAAGTAATGCTAGCAGATTCTACAATACTCTGATAGTCTTCAGATACCTTTAAATCTGGTGATCATATGCATCCAAGAAGCTGGGTTGACTTTCATTACCGAGTATGGAATGAAGATTACGTGCATTCCATTAAACACAGAACACAACATTGAGTGCCACAGCCCAACCTGCAAGATTTTAAGGTGAATAATTTTATTGAAATATTATATATATATTATACACACACATACAAACACACAGGACATAAATATACTGCAGAAGTGGTCAAACAAATGGCTAATCAAATTTAACCCCCAGTTAGTGCAAAGTTACATGGCTTGTGTAAAACCAGTCATGGAGAATGCAACTCAAACATGAAAACCATACCTACTAAAACAGAAAAAGAAGATTAAGAAGAGTTAGAGCTGTACTACAAGGCATACCTGGAGAGGGTTTCGGGAGTTCTTTTACTCCCTGATCCTGGCCCTGGGCCAGGCTCGACTTGTGGTAACTTGGTCCAACAAGCTGTTGTATGGAGCAGCCCACAGGCCCACATATCCACTACACTCTGGTTGGTCCCCACACTTATTGCATGAACCTGTCCAAGTGCCTCTTGGATCCACCTTCCTCCACCTTCATTCCGGCAATATTTCTAATGCTTGCTGGGAGGGTTTTGAACAGCCGTGGACCCTTGATGTTCAGTGTTCTCTGATTGTGCCTATGGCACCTCTACTCCTCAATGGTTCCATTCTGCATTTCCTTCCATACCTTTTGCTCCAGTATGTTGTTATTTTATTGTGCAAATTTGGGACCTGGACCTCCAGTATCTTCCATGTACAGTATATTAATTGATACCGTTCTTGTCTCCTTTCCAGAGAGTACATTTTGAGAGCTTTGAGATGGTCCCAATAATTTAGATGTTTTATCGTTTCTATGCATGCCGTTTGTGTTCTCTGTACAGTGACACCTTGACTTACAGATACTTACGAACCCCTACTTACGAACATTTTCAAGTTACAGCGTAAATTTCATTGGAAAATGCGACTCGACTTACGACCGTGTAACTAACGACCTTTGTTGATATGCATTTGGGTCGAGCAAGTGCATAGTTCCTGGTGGCACAGGCCGACCCGCCTCAGTTTACCAGAGCCGCCCATTTAATGATGATAGCACTTTTAAAGAATTTCATTATTTTGGTGCTTTTTTGTTTTTTGAACATAAAACTAATTATTATATATCATGCCATGTGTCCCAAGAAAGTCAGTGGTACGGTTCAACCTAAGAGAACACATGTGAGGATGCCCATAGAGGAAGTACAAGAGATCATTCGTAAACATAAAAATGGTATGAGGGTTGTTGATGTAGAGTAGAGGATGTCCCTTCCTCATTTGTTTAGAAAATGTGTGCAGTAAATTGCAAAGTTTTGCTGAAAAGTGTCACCCAAATCAAGCTGTAGAAGACCGTTGTGTTAATCTTTTTAATGACTGATTTCTCACTTCAGGCACGTGTTACAACGAAGGGAAAATAAATGTCGCTTGACAGGTTTTTAGTGAGAAAAACAAGCAGTGAACCACATGCAGGTCCTAGTGGCATGCAGGCAAAATGTAAAAGAGAGAGTACCCCAGAAAAGTCATCACTGCCTGATGTTATAATGGAAGGGGACTCCCCTTCCAAACACTAACACCTTTCCTCCTCACCGTCTTCCATACGACGACAAGAGTCCTCATTCAAGGTAAGATATACATACAGTACTTTATTGCAGCTAGTACAAAATGAGTGTTATTCAGTATAAAATGTATTTTTAAGTTAATATTTTTTGGGGTGTGGAACAGATTAATTCAATTTACATTATTTCTTATGGGAAAATTCATTTCAACTTACAAATTTTCGACTTACGACCCATCTCTGGGAATGGATTAAATTCGTAAGTCAAGGCCCCACTGTATTCCCTCTATTTCAGAGATCTCATCTGCTCTGAAAATGAAGTGAGTACCAAGCAATACTCAAGATGGGACAGTACCAGTGATTTAAATTGTGTTAGCATTGCTGTGGGATCTATGGATTTGATCGCTCTCATAATCCATCCTATCATCTTCGTGGTTGCCGCTATATTTGCTCGGTTGTGTTCACAACATCAGGTCATCAAACATCATAATTCCCAGGTCCTTTATACGTTGCTTTCCTTCTATGAGTAGGTCTGAGTGTCCTATACCCTGTGTTTCGTTAAAGTATGTCGTTTCCACCATACCTCAGTAACTGGAACTTATCACAGTTAAACATCATATTATTTTCAGTTGCCCAATCAAATACTTTATTCATATTTGCCTGTAGTATTTCAGTGTCTTCAACAGTGGCAACTTTCATGATGATTTTTGTATCATCTGCAAAGGATGACACAAAGCTGTATCTAGTGTTTTTCTCTATACAATGTCAGAGATAAGAATGAGAAATAGCAGTGGCGCAAGAGCTGTGCCCTGGAATAAAGAGCTTTTCACTGCATGTGGGATTTGATCTTACTTGATTTACCGTCTCATTCCGTCACATTCTGCATTCTGTCTGACAGAAAGTTGAAAATCCAATGCCCCACTTTACCCACTATTCCTACTGATCTCATTTGATGGGCTATCACTCCATGGTCACATTTGTCGAATGCCTTTGCAAAATCTGTGTATACAAAATCTGTATTTTGCTTTTCCTCTAAGGCTTCTGTGATTCTGTCATAATAATTCCCTAAGTGTAGTTACAGGATGAGCGCTACACTCATGGTGTCCCATCTTCCCAGCACTTTGTGTCATAACGCTTTGAAATTATTGATGGTTTTGGCCTCCACCACCACCTCAAACTTTTTCCAAATGTCTACCACTAGGTTTCCGAAAATTATTCTTTTTTATATTTCTTCAGCAGCTTTGTTTAGTTAGTTTAAATCTATGATCTCTAGTTCTTGAAGTTCCAGGTATCTGGAATTCTTCCCTATCAATTTTATCGATTCCCTTTACCATTTTGTACAGAGTGATCATATTGCCTCTTTTTCTTCTATCTTCTAGTTTTGGCATATTTAATACCTCTAAACTCTTTTCGTACCGCTTATCCTTCAGTTCTGGGAGCCATTTAGTTGCATGTCTTTGCACCTTTTCCAGTTTGTTGATGTGCTTCTTAAGATTTACTCCACTCGTGACATTTCTCCATGCCGATACAATGCCTCTGATTACTGCCCTTATTTTTCTGTCAGTTAGAAAATGTTTCATCCATGTTAGAATCCTACCTGGTTGATACCTGGTTGATGGGGTTCTGGGAGTTCTTCTACTCCCCAAGCCCGGCCCGAGGCCAGGCTTGACTTGTGAGAGTTTGGTCCACTAGGCTGTTGCTTGGAGCGGCCCGCAGGCCCACATACCCACCACAGCCCGGTTGGTCCGGCACTCCTTGGAGGAATAAATCTAGTTTCCTCTTGAAAATGTCCACGGTTGTTCCGGCAATATTTCTTATGCTTGCTGGGAGGACGTTGAACAACCGCGGACCTCTGATGTTTATACAGTGTTCTCTGATTGTGCCTGTGGCACCTCTGCTCTTCACTGGTTCTATTCTACATTTTCTTCCATATCGTTCACTCCAGTACGTACCAGTTCACAGATAGATGCTGTCAACCCAACCATCTCTTTCCTGTAAAATCTCTGTGGCTCGATCATAGAAACTGTGTAAATTCGTTACACATGATCTTCCAGATCAAAAACCATACCGTCTATCTGTTATTATAGGGTTTTCTCCAGTTGTTCTACCCCATTTAGTTTTTAACTGTTTTTTTCAATATTTTGACTTATTACACTTGTCAACTGAGGGGTGTGGATCTTCCCCTGCTGCCACTTCTTTAGATTGGAACAATGTTAGCCTTTTTTTCCACACATCTGCTAGGACTCCTGTACACAGGGATGCCTGAAAAATCAGTTGAAGTGGAATGCTGAGCTCAGGTGCATATTCTCTCAGAACCCATGGTGAAACTCCATCTGGGCCAAATGCTTTGTTCTTACTTAGCTCCTTGAGCATTTTTTCACTTCATCTCTAGACACCTATATATGCTCTATGTTGTTCTTTGGAATTCTTATTGTGTCTGGTTCCCTGAAGATTTCATTTTGTAAAAACACACTTCAGAACTTTTCATTGAATGTTTCACACATTTCCTTTTAATTTTCCGAGAATCTGTTTCCCACTTTCAACCTCTGAATATTATGCTTTACCTGCAATTTATTGTTGATGAATCTATAAAATAGGCCTGGTTCTGTTTTACATTTGTTCACTATCCCATTCTCAAAATTTCTGTCTGCTTATCTCCTCACTACTGTGTGGTTGTTTCTTGCATCTTTGTATCGCTGGTATGTTTGGGGGTTTGGCCTCTTCCTATATTGATTCCATTGTTGTGTCTTTTGGTCTCTGGATCTCTTGCAATTTCTATTGAACCATTCCTGGTTTTTAGTTCTGCATCTCTGCTTTAGTATAAATTTTTTGTGCCTTTATCATATATTTCACAAAACTTTACATACATCTCATTTACTTCCTTGCCTAACAGCAAGTCTTTCCAGTCAAATTCCTTAAAGAAATTTCTAAGTTCCCCATAATGTCTTCTGAATTCAGGTTATTCAACTGCATATTTAGATTAGATGAGATTTTATAAGTTCTTTTGGTTCAAAATTTGCATATGCAAATTGCAAAACACATGCACATCTTGTTCATTAAATTCAACATATAGGGGTACCTCGATTTAAGAATTTAATCCGTTCCTGGAGATGGTTCGTAACCCGAAAATTTGTAAACCGAAGCGAATTTCCCCATAAGAAATACTGTACAATATACTGTATACCAGTCCTAAAGCTACAATCTTCAAAAGCTAGATTTCCATGATGGTTCAGCTTGTTAGCACTTTCGCACGCCTGGCATGCGAGCCGCAAACTTTGACATCAAGCTCCCTGCGGTGCAGGCGAGCGTGCGGCGACACCGAAATGTGTATACTCGTCTCAGTTTTCTCACCTTAATTCTCGTGCTACGTCATTTGTTTTGGTATCATTGTGTTCGCAATAGAATTCCCTACAGGTGTATATGCATATATTGTCCAAAAGCCCAGCATGACTCCCCTTAGCAAAGCCTAAAGTTACCCGTGAACAAGCACCAATTGGAACACCCACAACCTAATGTGTATACTTGTTCAGTTTGATAACATCAAATTTCGTGTTACGTCGCTCATTTTGGCATCAAATTGTTCGCAATATAAAGGCGCGTATTTTAAAACTAGTCCCATAATAATTGAGCAATAAATAGAATTTTTCCAAATATTTTAAATTTTGGATGCACATCATCACAAAATTATTTATATCTTTCCAGTATTCTGATATAAATTTTTGTGTTACATCTTTCATTTTGGTATCAAATTGTTCACAATCTAAATGCGCGCATTTTAAAACTAGTCCCATAATAATATCACAATATATATGGAATTTTAACAAATATTTTAAATTTTGGATGCAAAATGTATTTCTAATCTTTTCAGTGTTCTGACATCAATTTTCGGGTTACATTTTTCATTTGGGTATCAAATTGTGTGCACTTTAAAGGCGATCATTTTAAAACCACTCCCAGATTGATCGAATAAAATTTAACTTTTAACAAATATTTTAATAATCGGACGCCTCTGGCGTTACCGACTCGGACTCAAGAGAAAAAAATCAGACGCAACGGGCGTTTGAAGAGCGGGAAAGTGTTAAGCAAATCTGTCTATAAAGTATAAATAGATATATGTTATTTTTTTACTTCACTCATTGGACAAGACGATGTTATTAGCTTCTATATAACAAATAGTAAACACAAATGATAAGAGTTTTCCGCAAAACTCAACAGCATCTAAAGTGTCAAATTAATTACGAAGCTCAAATTATAAACAAATTCATTCATCATATTCATCAAACAGTATGGCATACACCTACTTTAAGTTCTTTTAAGTTGTCAATCTTTTATAAGATACAACTGTATTACCCTAGGATTTGTAATAACGTACCTCTCGCTTAAAGTCAAGGACACAAACAGCAACTTCTCCCTCCGTGTAATTACACGCCGAAGTTAAGGTACGGCAGTGGGCTAGCATTGCTGATCTTGTTACCACTACACCTTTCACTGAACCATCTTTGTCTGTACAATACTGTAAGGTAAAATAATGGTTACATTAATTTATGCATTTCTGAACTTTTGTAAACAAAATACTGAATAAAATATATTTTCCAGATTACATTTAATGAAAATCATCACAAGCATATTCAAGATGTGAATAAAATAAAGAAATATGAATTTAAGTGAAAAAAACTAACTAGACATATGCTACTATGAGGAGGTATTTATATTTTTCATGTACAAAAATATTCATTTTCATGTACAAAAATATTCATTTTCATGTACAAAAATATTCATTTTCATGTACAAAAATATTAATTCTCATAATAGTGGCCACCAAAATACTTGCCTCAATATATGCAGCAGTGTCATCAGAGTGTCTAGGAGGTGTTTGCCAGTCTTTTGGAGGTTTTGGCAAGTGGTCAGTAATAAACCATGTGAGCTTTGGCCACCCTTTAAAAGATACCACTTCCCCAGCACTAGTCTTTGGAATGCCCTTGAAACAAGCTTCTGAAGTAAGAGCCACTGAAACACCACAGCTTCCCAAGAGGAAACCAATCTGAAAAAAAAGATTAAATAATTAAGTTAGAAAACAAATTTAAGGTCAATATTGATCTCATTAATTTAATTAATTTTATAAAATTGCTTATTCAAATACTAAGCAAATCTTATGTAAACTTTCACAATTATCTAAATATTCAGAACTACAAAGTATCTTTTGAAATTTACATTGAATAGTAAAGTACAAATGACATCTTCAAAGCACTGCAAATTACGAGATAATTATTTACAAATGCTACACAATTTGGAACAAGTAAACACAGTACTGTATTATTTAATACTGTATTCAAACAACTATAGTACTTATGTCTCTTAAATGCCAAAGGGCATGTGAATTGATAAACTCTTTATCTGCTAAAGGCAACTTTAGTTTCCCTAATTCATTTATGCTCAGTTGAAGGTACCACATCACGACTTGATTCAGAGAATCGATGTCCTCCTGACCCAGTCTAACCAGGCCTCATCGCTGAGAGTTTGTCAACCAGGCTGTTAGGATGCAGCTGCATGCAGTCTGATGAATGAATCACAGCACTACTTTTCAATGGGGCAATTTTACACAGAAGGTCAACCCGATTAGAAATAGAAGACAAACTATGCAGAGTGAAAAAATGGCGGACCCAGGGAACTTCATACTGTCACTGAGAAGAAGCTCTCAGGTGGGACACCAATAACGAAGCCACCTGATCACCATACACTTGGTGATAAACCAACATCAAAGAGACGCGAAGAGCGGAGAAGACCGAACCAGCCATGTACCAGATCGGTCCGACCCTCTGGAAGAGGGGGAGCTGTGGAAACGTCTCGGGTTCACACACCGAGCAAGCAGCACCTGGAACCAATGCTTGGCCGGCCACCAAGGGGTCACAAGAACTACTCTCCCATGGCAGGACTCCAACCGGGCCACAACCAGAAGCAACAGCTGGACCGGGAGAAAGAGGTACAGGTAACCCCATCTTGACCATTCCTGCTGAAAGGCATCCACCGCGATAGCCTCACAGTCAGGGAAGGGCGCCACATAGATTGGGAGACGCCGAGACCACGTCAATGTGAAGAGGTCCACGTCCGGGAGTCCGTACGTCCAGCAGAGCCAACGGAAGGAGTCAGTATCGCCCGTCCATTCCGTGGATAGGGAGAATGAACCGAGACAGACCGTCTGCCAGGTAGTTGGACACTCCTCAGATATGAACCGCACGGAGAGCCAAACCCTGAGAAGCCAGCAGACGAGCCACTCGAAGCAACCAGCCACAAAGAGGCAAGGACAGAAGAGAACTCTCACGGTTCAGGCAATGAACCGTCGCAAACTCCCACACCATACTGTAAGCCCGACGGAAGGACGGACCCCATTGCCCCTGGCCGGCCTGGTGAACACTGGTCACAAAGCCCCAGCTAAGAGATGACACATCCGTGAAAACATCGAGCAAGGGTTTGGGGAGGCGCTAAGGCACTGAACCCCGAACATCCTGAACAGGAAGCTAGCGACGCAGCAACTGACGCAAGGCCCCACAGAGTATAAACCCAGTGATCGCGAAAGAAGCAAAAAAGTCCCTGAAGAAACCAGAACGGATGCCGAAGCCAAACCTAACCCAGCGGATAGACCAGTATGGGTCAAGTTCAAACTCCGGCACATCTGCTCGAGGAACCGCCGAGTGACCCGGGGCCCCTCTCCCCCAGAAACAGCCGAAGGCTGGACTGCAGCCTCAGCAACGCCTCCGGAGGGAGAGACGGAAGTGGTTCGAGAGTTCTAAACAAGACCCAGCCAGGTCCGAACCTGGGATGGAACCAGATGGGATTTCCTCCAGTTCACCAGGAACCTGAACCCGGCGAACTTGGAATGGACCACACTCTTGGCAAGCAGACAAGCACCCAAGGTATGATGCGTGATTACAGGCGATGCCAGATTCAGGCCAAAAGGAAGACAACAAAAGCAGAAAGCCTGACGGCCCACCACAAAACCTAGCCAGTCCCTGAACCTCGGACGAAAAGGGACAACACAAAATCAATACACGTCCCTGAGGTCCAGGAACACCATCCAAGCACCCAGCTCCAAAAGAAGCCGGACTTGAGACAGAGTGGTCATCCAAAAGGAGGGAGCAAGGAATCCAGTGATTCAGACAGGACAAGTCCAGAATGAACCGCAGATCCGCACAGTCTCTTTTTGGCTCTGGAAACATGAGAGAAACCCACCGGTCAGGGTCATTTCAATCACACCCAAGTGCACCCACTCCGAGATGAACTGACGAAGCGCGGGGATAGAAGCCTGCCCTGTCAGCCCCAAATACCCCGAAGGAGGAGCCGCTGCCCAATGCCACAGCAGACCTGATGACATGACCGAAAATGCCCACAAATCTTGGGACCAAGAGCGAGCAAACAGAGCGAGCCTCCCCCCCCCCACCCCACCATGCCCGATCAACGGGGCGAACCGCGTACGGGCCAATGCCTCTTACAAGAAGACGACTGACGAATAGTGAGATCATCGCGCCGATCCAGGTGACATTGGCTCCGAAGGCAACATCAACTCAGAAGCTCCCACCTCGACCAGCGGAAGCCCAAGCCCTGGCGAGCACAGCATGATGACACGCGAGGCGAGAAGCAAAGAACAGAGACACCGCCTTCTTCAGGATAGGCAAAAGCAGCTTCAACAGTGCGGCTGATGCCCAAGCCGCGGAGGACAGCACACCAGACGAAGGCCCGGCACGCAACGCCTCCACATTTTCCTCAAGCCAGGCCAAAGACAGCTCAAGAAGGAAAAGAAGCGCAAGACCAAAGCCAAATGCCCACGGCACACAAGTCTTCAGCAACCAAGGACACTGAAAGGGTAGGAACCTGCACGTGCAGCTGCACAAGGCCAACATCCCGAGAAAGTACAGGGGCAAACAAGCTTGCATTAAGATGCTCAAACACGTCCCCCAGGTAAACTTGCAGAATGCTAGAAGTTTCTCGCCACTGAAGCGTGAGAGTCTGACAGAACCCATCCCATGCCCCCTAATAAAAAGAATGGCCAGTCTGCCAGCCAGGAAGACTCCAGAACCTTCAAACGCACCCTATACGGGGAAGAACAATCGAACTCATGAGGACGGATCCATCACGGAGGCGGAATCCAGGCACACAGCAAGAGCATCTCCCGAGGGGAGATATGAGAGGCAGAAAACCTCCGGAAGGACGGGGCCGAGGAAACCAAGGGAGCCCGGAACAGAACCCGGGGAGGAGCTGACCCCATATCAAACTCATACAGGGAAGGGGGTAAGAAAACCCCTTCCCCTGCAACAAGAAGCCCCATGATGAGGGCACCAACACCCAAGCAGGGGGGGTCAAAGGGGGGCCCAACTTTGACCCCTGAACAACACCAGCAAGCACAACTAGGTGAGTACACACTGGCTGCCACTCCCCCAACACAATTATTAATTATTATAAAATTTATTATTTTATACATTTAAACACTGGAGTCCTTGTTTCAAACTATTATTTTGAGTCCTATAATTATTAATGCTAAATGTGAAAAAAATATTTTCATGAAGCCCCGTGGCGAAGTGGTACTGTAACACACTCGCCTGGTGCTTCGTGAGCGTTTTGACCTGGGTTTGTATCCTGGCCGGGAAAGATTGACTGGGTGCCAATCTTTAACTGTTGCATCTGTTCACCCAGCAGTGAATGGGTACCCGATTGTTAAACAATTCGGCGGGTCGTATTCCAGGGAAAATTAGGATTAAGGACTTGCCTGAAACGCTATGCATGCTAGTGGCTTTACAAGAACGTAAGAACGCTTGAATACATAAATAAATAAATGTTAGAAAAAATGGATTACTGTAATAAGAAAATAAAACCTAATGTAGGAAAAGAAGGTGCATAATTAATTTTGGTTGTATTTAATGAGTAAGATACAAAAAATTGCATGCAAGTTAATTAATTAATGTGCTAGATTTGCACAATCAAACTGTTGTTTCAAAACAACAGTGTTTTCACCACACAACAATTGCCCTTATCATGTAACTCTACAAAACATTCTGCTCTAAATTATACCTTGTGTTTGTGGCTGAGAAGTGGATGTTGAAGTGAGGAAAAAGTGGACACCTCGAATTCTCAAGAATGCATCTCTAGTTAACAATAAATATGTTGTTAACTAGAGATAAATTAATATTATTGTTAACAAGTTAACAATAAATATGTTAACTTTGTTCCAGATGAATTCACTATGTACATTTTTTGATGAATACATCCCAAACACAGATCAAGGAAATATTGTATAATTTTCCATTTTTACTATTCTATCTTTTCATGGACCACCACTTTCTTTTCATACATTTCTCAGTGCTAACAAACAGTAAAACCAATATGTAGAATTTGTTTGAGATGTTTTGAGAGGCTTTCAAGCAAATTGAATAAATACTTGAAATATCTTGCAAAGATTGTACATATGGCCACCTTCTGGAGAAAGAAAAGCATTCCCAAAGGCATAAAAGGAAATGAACAATATACTGTACTTATATAGATAGAAAAATAGCTAAAACGATAAGGAGTCAGAAACTATCAAGTTTACAAAATACTAACCTGCTGTGATCCAGCATCTCGTCTTGACAAAGGAACTTCGATCGGTACAGGAACAAGTCCTGCCTGTAGACACGCATAAAATGCACACATGAAGGATACAGGATCGTTATTAGGGTAAACGAGGGCAACACGGTCACCAGGCATAACTGTACCCTCCCCACGGCCACCAAGACGTGTTAGGAGGTTATATGCCATCTTTTGTGATCTACTCAGTAGCTTGCCTGAAAAACATTAACAAATTTCATAAGCAAAATTATTTTAATAAATGTTTTGCATTATCCTTCAACCTCTACATATCAATACATAAAATGTAAACATCAGTAAAGTTAAACATCAAAACTCCAAATTAAAAAACATCCAAAATCTGGAACGATTTTTTTTAAACTAATATACAACATTCATAAAAATAATTAAGTTTTATGACCTCAAAATGACTTTTCAAAAATCTTTGCACAATGATAACTGTAGTGGTGTGCGTTTTAAACTGCAAGCATATTTCACTTAACACTTTCGCGCTTTAGATTAGAGATAACTCGTCGCCTTTTTTTCTTACGATTCCGCATAACAGCCTACTTTTCTCGTCCATCGAAAAAATATTTCTATAAATTCCATTTTTTAACCGAAATGGATGGGGATACTTTTGTTGTGTAGAGAATTTATTTTGCGAATTTTTTGGTACCAGAATGAATATTATATCACATAAACTTCTATGAGTAAAAAAAAAATACACAAAGTATGTTTGGGGGTGTGGCGAGCGTGTGGCAGTGGGTTCCCTTTAGCCGTTGATATATCCAACACGTGGGAAATATTTGTATGTGTTATGTATATGTCTGTGTAGGGAATTTTACTGCGATCACTGTCATACAAATTATAAAATGTTTCAACAAGTATAAACATGACAAACATCAAACAAACGAAAACAATGCGTTCGTTTCTGCCGCGAACGCATACTGAGCGACGTGGTTCTATATTTGGCGCTTCTCTTACACATGCTTTGTACAAATGTTATACAGTTCATCTTATAGAAAATTTTATTGCGAACACATTGGTATAAAAAAGAAATACGTACATAGAAAAGTAGGGTCAGGAAGCGTATAAACTTTCCAAGCATGATTTCCCCCCTGTGTTTTCGCCAGTGCGCTCGCGGCTAACTACTCTCCACTTCACACACTCTTGCGGGTGGGCAATTACCTATATTAAACATTCATATGCATATGTCCGTGTAGAGACTTTTATTGCGATTCCAATGATACCAAAATTAGCGATGTAGGACAACTGTAGGCTTCGCAACCATTAAGAGAGTGGAAACATTTTGTTGCTGTTTGGCGCTCTCGGCGAGTGATCTGCATAGTTTTTTATTTGGTGTTGATACTCCTTATGCTTGGGCGGCATTTTATAGGTATGCTCTTATAGACAATTTCATTGCGAACACAGTGATAGCAAATTTAAATATGTGCGCCTTCAATTATTGTCAGGACAGTCAAAAGAGTGTACACTTTTTCGGTCTTACCGCATAGGCGCGCGAAGTACCGAAAGCATCTGGGGTATTGTTTTTTTTTGAGCGCCGAGAGCGCGAAAGTGTTAAATTGCAGTGCAGTAAAAAAAAAAAAAAAAAAAAACAGCATTGAATGTAATTGAAATGCCATTTTCTGGGTGAGTCCCGGAGGTTCCCCGGAGCTATCCAGGCTGAATGGATATGTATAACTTTCTGGTATCAGTCAATGTGCATGGAGTTCTTGCCTACCAGGCACCACAAGCCAGAACCTAGCCCCCTCAGAGAGGCGCGAGAAGCAATGGCCTATAGAAACTACCAAGTAATTGGGAGCATTCTATGTCTGCCATCGACCGGGTCTGACACCCATAAAGGTTGGCGTCCCAAAACAAACCCCCATTCTGATGAAACTATTGCTACCAAAAGCCGAACGAGTGGACAGAACTCCCCAAACAAAAATTAGCAAACTAACATGACTTCATCACATTGCCACGCCGCTGGCTGCGCAACCCTCACTCCCTGGGAGGGTGAAGGGGAGCCCCAGACACCCTCGCATTGGCGATCCAACTACCAGTTCTTACGCTGGATGTCAAAATACGCGAAACACACCGCCAACTGGGAGGGAGGGAGGGATGCCGGGGAACCTCCGGGACTCACCCAGAAAATGGCGTTTCATTACATTCAATGCAGGTTTTCTGGAGAAAGCCACGTCGGCTCCCCAGAGCTAACTACCCAAAAACAAGGAAAAACAGGGATTTACCCAGGAGGCGGTCAGTCCTCACTCCTCAATGCAAAGTCAAGACAACTGGCTGCAACTGCCGACCCAAAGCAGCGCAGGCCCGACTAGGCCCAGGAACATTCATAAGGTAGCGTGCAGCCAGGACTCTGTTCGACCACCAAAAACCCTGTGCCCAAATGTCAACCCAAGACATTTTGCCAAAGATGGCAGCCAAGGCAGCAAACTTACGAACAACGTGGGCACAGGGATAGACCGCAGGCTGGCTAGACTTAATAACCCTGCAGACAACCTGAGACACCCGAGCCCGGGAACAGGGAAGGAGGGAAACCGGGTTAACCCAAAGCGCATTCCCGGTCACTGAAACCATGGCGCGCAAATAACAGCAGAGAGCTGCAACCAGACACAACACATCATGCATCCCCGGCCTGATTAACCCAGCATCAACAACCCAAGGACCCCTCTGGAAAGCAGCCATCTCATTCTTCGTCAAAAATGGAGACGGCTGCAACCGAACAAACATACCACCAGGACCAAAGGAGAAGAAACCTCTAAGCCAGAGGAGAGCATGAAGCTCCCCGACCTGACCCCCCAGAGGCCAATGCCAACAGAAAAAGAGCCTTAGAAAAACAATCTTGAACCAAAGAGGCTACTAAAAACCGAGGCGGAGAGAAAAGAGAGCACCCGGTCCAAAGACCAGGATGGCTCAGGAGGCGCACGAGCAGGCCGGAGGTGAAACAATGCACGAGAAAGCTTGCAGAACGGGGCAGAAGTAACATCAACATCGAACGCAAGCTGGAGCGGCTCTGCCAGCGCAGTACGATACGAGGCGACAGAGGCATCAGAAGACGGTCCTGGAACAACCACAAAAGAATGGACAAAACAACCCTATCAGAGACTAAAGAACACCTACGCAGTGATAGGAAAAACTGGAAGGACCGCCAGGAAACTTCATACTGCCACCGAAACGAAGCACGCAGGTGGGAGACCAACAAAGAAGCCACCTGTGCCCCATGCAAGTGGTGATAAACTCGTGATAAACTCGTGTCAGACACTCCAGACGTGAAGACTCGAGAAGAAGAACGAACCAGCCTCGTACCAGGCTGGACCGATCTGCTGAAAGAAGCGGAGTCGCAGGAAGACCCTCGGGTTCAGACACTGAACAAGCAACGCCTGAAACCAAGGCTGGGCCAGCCACCAAGGAGCCAGAAGGACGACTCTCCCCTGGTTAGTCTCCAAGCGAGTCAGGACCTGGAGTAACAGCTGAACCAGGGGAAAGAGGTACAGGTAACCCTGTACCATGCACCTTGCGAGCACGCAAACAGCACAAAGAGCAATCCCCGCGCCGAATAGAAACAGACGGCACCAAAGGCTGTGCCGGTGCCAAACCTGACACCACTGGCCTACCACAAGAGAAAGAACCCCAAGCCCTGGCACGAGCCCACCGGGTGGCCCCCAACGAGCCCCCGGAGGACCAACAATGCCAACATAGGATGGCAACTAGCCGAAGCCGCCTGCAGATACTGCATCACCGCAGACTCTGCAAACAGACACGGACAAAAGGGCGAAGACAATTTAAGAACCAGGGCCCAAGCGAATTCCATGGAAGAAACGAGCACCGCCTGCCGACTCACAAGCAGAGAAGCAAAAAACCACGAAACCGCATCCTGCAGGAGCAAGCAAACAGCTTCATCAGCACAAACAATGTACATGCTGCTGAAGGCAATGCACCAGACCCAGAGGTGGCCCCAAGCTCCTCCACATCCACCGCAAGCCAGTCCGAAGACAGCTCAAGGAGGGAGAAGAACCGCAGGGCCGAAATCAACACGCCCTGCATACAAAAGTCCTCCGCGACCAATACAGCTGAAAGGGAAGGAACCTGCACATGAAGCTGCATCACACCAATATCCCGCGGAAGGGCAGGGGCGAACAAGCACTCATCGAGATGCTCAAATGTGCCCCCCCAGGAAAACCTGCAATGCCGTCTGAGCCCCCCGCCACTCATTCCCGCATGAACGTATGCCACACCTCCAAAGAGAAGAAAGGGCAGTCTGAAAACAAGGAAACCAGAACCTCATAACGAACCCAGTAAGGACACGAAGATCCATACACAAAGGAACGCAGATACATCACAAAAGCAAAATCCAGGTCGTGCAGGAGGTAAGCCATACGGATGTCCCCCACCAACTGGGACTGGACTCGGGAAGCCGGAAACCTCCAGAAAGACGGAACCGAAGAACTGTCGGGGTCAATGAACCGAACCCGGGGAGGGGTAGACGCCAAATCCAACTCGCACAAGAAGGGAGCAAAAGAGAACCCCACACCCTGTAACACCAAGCCCCGCTCCAAGGGTACAAAACCCAAGCGGGGTCCAATGGGGCCCCAAGGACCCCTAGTCAACCCCTCCCCCGCCCCCTAGTCAACCCCTCCCCCGCCCCCTAGTCAACCCCTCCCCCGCCCCAGGAACCTGACTCCCAGGATCTGGAGCCGAGTCATCCTCCACACCCCCTACATCTTAAGAAAGGCAGGAGCAGCCAAAAAAGCCGGAACAAAGGGGGCCCACTGGTCAGACCCAGAAGCTCCGGCAGGAAGACCAGGCTCGAATGCCTCTGCCACCACCCTGGAAGGAGACTCCCGAGACTGCCCGAGTCTCAACACCAACTAAACCCTGCCGACTCCGAAACCTTCAGATGCTTCGGAGCCAGAAGCAAGGGGGCAGGAACGGGATGGACAACAGATGGGGGAAAGACAAGGGGGGGGGGTGGACGGAACCAGAGCTGAAGCGACTCCCACCTCGAAGTCCGGGTCCATAAAACCAAAACGGGGCAGTCTCGGGAAATCCAGGGAAGCAACTAACCTAGCATGTTGCAGCAACCTAAACCCAGCATGCAATGCAGCTGCCACCTGCACCATATCATGATCAGTAGCCTGGGTGAACTGGAGCACATACAGGCAACAAACGTTGCGCGACTCTGGGTCAAAAGAATCACTGACCCAACAGACAGCATGGCAGACACACAACTGGTGATTGTCCCCCAGAGACAAGGGGATAGAGCAACCTTCTGACTCGCACGAAGTGTGAGGGGACTCAAGGGTCACATACATCGGACCATAGAGCCCCAGCAGGGTTTCCCAGGGCCCTTAGCCTTATTAACATGCTAAGGGAAGCCCAGGCAGGGTACTGCAAACCGGTGCCCAAGACTACCAAACAATCTGCTAATAGCTGAACCCCTGGGACGTGTCCACTCACGGGGGCCTAGCAAGGGGTACCACCAACCATACAAAAACTGAGAATAGATATAATGATAGATATATACACCCCAACACAGAATGGGCAACTACCAAGGCAGACCCCCCTCATCAGGCTGAAAAACAAAAACAAAAGCAAAACACCGCAAGAGGACAGCATACCCAGATGGAACAGAGCCAGCCGCTATAAGAGGTGAAAACTAGCTGTGCAGTACCCTGCGCCCCTACCAGTGACAAAAACTACCACTTACCCAGAGGCAAACATGGGCAACAAAGACTCCAGTTGACTCCAAGGGCGGCCAAGTACCGAGCAGTAAAAGACACAGCAGGGGTAGATCCCGAGGTGACTTGTGGAAGGTGGTACTTACAGGGCACCTAGGGAAGGTGGCCCTAGGCGCATGCAGCCCGAGTACCAAAGAATATTACTCCTGGCTTGCACACCACCAGTAGAGATAGCCCAAACCCAAGGCACAGAAACTTAGACAAATCGCTGGAGCCAGAGCCACAAGACCCCGCCAGTGGAACATCAGACTGAGAACTGCCGGGTGGATTGCTGGTGTGGGGGTCTGGGGGTCTGGGGCTCCCCCTTCTCCCTCCCAGGGAGGAGGGGGTTGCGCAAACAGCGGCACGGCAACATAATGACGTCATACTCATTTGCTAATTTTCATTTGGGAAGTTCTGTCCACTCATTTGGCTTTCGATAGCCATAGTTTCAACAGAATAGGGGTTTGTTTTGGGGTGCATACCTTTCTGGATGCCAGAACCGGTCGATGGCAGACATAGAATGCTCCTAATCACACAGGGGGTTTCTATAGGTCACTGCTCCTCGTAGCTCACTTGAGGGGGCCAGGTTCTGTCTCATGGTCCCCGGTAGGCAAGAACTCCATGCACATTGACTGATGCCAGAAAGTTATACATAGCCATTCAGCCTGGATAGCATCGGGGAGCCGATAGGGCTCCCCCCAGAAACTAATAATTGCAAATATGTAATCACACACACATGAATTTTACTATATTTATATTTTAAAATGGTTTTGTGAATCTTACCATAAGTAAGGGACACAGACAGTTTGCCATTTGCATCCAATATTGTGGCGACTGGAGCTTTATATCCTGAGGATGACCCATAGCGATAAACTGCATCTTCCACAGATCGTGGCAATCCAGCAGGAATCTGAGGAGGAAATGTAATTCTTCTTATATGATAATTTAAAGAGGCCATTCTGTTTTGGAGAAGGCAAAAAAATTTCAAAATACTGTATTCAGAATGAAGATAAACCCACCTATGACAAAATAATGATATGTACTGCTCTATCAGCCAAGAATCATTACCGAGTTAAATTTCATACGTAAAGAGAGACTACAAGAACTGGGGCTTACCTACAGTACACAAGGTGTATCTAACTTTCTAGTATTTAAATTAAAGAAAAAGGCTGTTTTTGAGAATAAATATAGGATGACAAGGCTTTAGCCCATCCAGACACCATACTCTGACTGTGACTGTCATCGGGCACAAATTACTAAACAGGCCCAAGGACAAAATCAGGCGAGAACTCACCACCAGTTGTTCCCCACGAGCCGGTGTCATGACCATACCCTCCGGCTTGGGAGCATTAGGGTCTTTGGGATTAGCAGCAATTTCAAGGTCTTCTTCATCATCCAAGTAAAACTCTGGTAGAGGTCTTCTCTTTGGTCTCTTTAGCGTGTTTAAAAGCTGCTGAATCTTGTTGGAAACTTTCCAGCGGCCAGTTCCACGCCAATTTTCTGGAAAATGATATAGAGCGTCTCGCCATCCGTCTGAGTCTGCCAGAGCAACGATGGCAAAAGACAGCCCGCAAGCAATGCAGAGGGTTAGTATAGGAGAGCTAAACCAGACTACCCTATTACTTGGAATGTGGAAAGGACTGAAAGCACTGGACATTATTTTCAACACAATTTTAAGGTAAAGATGTGAAACCAATTTTCCACAAAGCAATTATTAAAATTCTATTCTAAAGTTTATTGCATTTAAAACCCATATTATTACACAGAAGCTTAACCTTAACACCAAGAAAGAAGGTAAGATACTTTGCAATACAGGCATTAGGAGAATAGTGAAGAGACATTTTAAGAAAGTTACTACAACTACTGCAACAAGCATGGATGGGGATAGCTACCTGTGATCAAGTGTAAGAGTATTCTATAATGTGTTAAAAGCACAGAAAGCTTTTACAGAATCAAAGTTCTGTAAATGAATATGCAGCATCAATGATCATGCAAATATATATTATACAGTAACTACAGTATATACAGCTATGGGTAATAAGTCTCTGAAGAAAATTATAAAATCAACATAATGTTGAAACATTGTATTCATGTGCAGAGAAAATATTTTTGTAAGAACAGGCAAGGTTTCCTAGGTTTATCTACACAACAAATTAATAAGTAATTTATCTTGTGTGAGCTCACCAGCATCTGAGGAAGACTGTCTACCAGGAGCTGGACCAGAATAGCGGGTAATGCGGTCATCTCGTGGTGCACGATTGTTGCCCCCTCCAGTGTTGTTTGTCACATCAGGGGGTTGAGAAACTGAAAATAAAGAAAAGTGGTAACAAATTTACATGTACACCTGTACTGTACTACAGAAAAATTAAAAAACAACAAAGGATATAAAATTGGCCCATTCCTTCCTCTCTCTCTCTCTCTCTCTCTCTCTCTCTCTCACACACCTGACTTGATAATGGTCCAGGATTGACCGAAACATCATTGTTTCTCTATTTTCTGATTTGTGGTTTGGTCATCAAAGCATATAAAATAACAGAAAAGAAAATAAGGAGGAATGTGGGGCACTGAACCTGCTTTATTGTTTTTATTTTTTTTATTTATACAGTATATATAAAGAGTTCTTACATTCTTGTACAGCCACTAGCACACACAGGGTTTTGGGAAGTCCTTAATCCAAATTTTTCACACACACACACACACACACACACACACACACACACACACACACACACACACACACACACACACACACACACACACACACACACAAAAAAAAAAAAAAAAAGTAGTTAGTAAACAGTTGATTGACAGTTGAGAGGCGGGCCGAAAGAGCAAAGCTCAACCCCCGCAAAACACAACTAGTAAACACAACTAGTAAACACACACACACACACACACTATGCAGCGGTTGTGTGGTGCCCATATCTTAAGAAGCACATCAACAAACTGCAAAAGGTGCAAAGACATGCTACTAAGTGGCTCCCAGAACTGAAGGGTAAGAGCTACGAGGAGAGGTTAGAAGCATTAAATATGCCAAAACTAGAAGACAGAAGAAAAAGAGGTGATATGCTCACTGCGTACAAAATAGTAACAGGAATTGATAAAATCGATAGGAAAGATCTCTTGAGACCTGGAACTTCAAGAACAAGAAGTCATAGATTTAAACTAGCTAAACACAGATGCCGAAGAAATATAAGAAAATTCACTTTCGCAAACAGAGTGGTAGACAGTTAGAACACGTTAGGTGAGAAGGTGGTGGAGGCCAAGACCGTCAGTAGTTTCAAAGCATTATGACAAAGAGTGTTGGGAAGACGGGACACCACGAGCGTAGCTCGTGGTGTCCCGTCTTCCTGTAACTTCCTGTAACTACACTTAGGTAATTACCCGTCTTCCGTCTTCCCGTACACCCGTCTTCCTGTAACTACACTTAGGTAATTACACACAAACACATACATACATCCCCAGGAAGCAGCCCATAGCAGCTAACTAACTCGCAGGTACCTATTTAATGATAAATGAACAGGCACATCTGGGTGAAGAAACTCTGCCCATTTGTTTCAGCTTCTGCCGGGAATTGAACCCAGACCATTAGGACTACAAACCCAGAGAACTGTCCACTCAGCCATCAGCTCCTTTATATAATAAAGGTTATTGGCATGGTGCATTTTCTCACCACCAGGCTTCAGGCCAGGTTTCCTTTGTGACTACCTGATCACCTGTGCAATTGCTGCGTGCCAATTTAGTTATCACACCCTGGATGATCAAGTTATTTTCTGGAGAAAATCTGCAAATGTTCCTTTTCTGTGGGGAGCCCCTACGGCTCCCTGGAGCTTATCGGGCTAATGTGTGTTATGTTAGACCGGGACATTAGCTAAGGAGTTCAGACCTACCAGGGACCAGCGCCAGAACCTGGCCCCTTCAGAGAGGTTTCAGGGAGCAATGGCCCTGGAAAACCCCATATGGTTGGGGGTTTTCCTTATCTGCCATCGACCGGGGTTAGGCACCCAGAAAGGTAGGCGTAACAAAACAAACCCCACATGGTAAGAAACTACAACAAAAACCGAACAGAGAGGTAGAAAACTCCCTACAATCCCAAGGAAACAAGCAAACAAGCAAACATCACACTTTACTGCCGCGCCGATCGTCCGCGCAGCCCTCCCCACCCCGGGAGGGGGAGGGGGGAGCCCCGGACCTACCGCGCCGGCTGCCAAGCTTCAGTTCGTTCGCTAATGTCAACCGGGATTGACGCTTCTCTGGCCTCAGTTTCCTAGGCGGTGTTTGCCTTGTGTGGCGTTCACTGCCGTGTGTTGTGGTGTGCGGTGGCCAGGAGTACTTCATCAGTGCCGGGGCTGCATGTGCTTAGTGGCTGACTTCCCTAAGCGCCCTGTGAGTACTGCCCTTGCGTTACAGGGTTATCTTCCCTGGGGCGTTCGGGAACCATTCCCGTAGAGGTTCTTGCTGCTCGGCATTTGCCTCGCCCTTGGGGCCAGCTGGGGCTTGGGGCCCTTGTTTGGCCCTGGGTAGGGATTGGTATTGTGCTGGTTAGGGCGTCAAGGTGTTGCGCAGCCTGCCACCTAAGCGTCGGCCGGTTTCTGTTGCCTCTGGAGACGATGTACTTTTGCGGGGTTTTTCTTTTGTTTTTCATTTTCTTGCCTGGTGGGGGTCTGCCTAAGGTGGTTATAGTTCCACTGGTAGTGTTTGGCGGCCCTCTGCTAGGCCCCCGTGCTTGTACACGTCTCGGGGGTTTTCAGTGCTATAATCTACCCTCTTGTTATGTTTGGGTTTCTTAACCGGTTAGCAACACCTTGCCCGGGCTTCCCGTAGTTGTTACCCTACGGGCCCTGGAAACCCCTGTCTGGGCTCGGGAGACCATTGAATGTGTCTTCCGGGTTCCAACCCGTCTTGTACGGGATCGTTGGTTGCTGTTCCCTTGTCTCCGGGTGACAGTCGCCATTTTTACCTCCGTCATGCTGCCTGTTGGGTCACTGACACCTTGACCCGGAGTCTTGCGAGTGATTCTCTGCTTGTTCTCCAGTACTCTCCTGATGTTATTACTGTTCAGAGTACAGGCGGCATCCGTGTTGCAAGCTAGGTTAGGTTGCTGCAACATGCTAGGTTGGTTTCCCACTCGAATGCCCCGTGGCCGCCCCGTTTGGTTAGGTGCTGCTCGCCCCTTTCTCTCCATGTTCCCGGCTCCGGACCGTCTGCGTGTTTCTGGGTCGGGGCGGGGTTCAGTTGCGGCAGAGACTCGGGCGGTTTTCGGGGGATGCCCCGTTCGGGTTGGGGACGGAGGTTTGAGCCTGTGCCTCCTGCCAAGGCTTCTGGGTCTTACCAGCGGCCCTTTCTTGTTGCCTTTCCCATGGGCTCTTGCTTTTCTTTCAGGGCGGAGGGCTTGGAGGCCGGCTCTGCCCCGGGGCCTCTGTTGTTGGTTCCCGGGGCTGTGGGGGATGCCTACTAGCAGTTCTGGGGCGGTTTTGCCCCTTCAGGGGTTTTTCTGCTGTTGAGCGTCGTTTTTCGCCCTTCCAGTCTGCTAGCTTCCCACATTTGCTGGCGTGTTTTTGTGTATTAAGCGTCAGTCACAGCCCCTGCTGGCGGCCATTTTCGTCTGACCGGTTTCCCGGCGTGGCCACCAGGGCGGCGTTGCGGTTTGTTTACATGCGTCTGGGTGTGCGAGCGAGCGTCTCTGGTGAGTTTTCAAAAAATTTGCTGGGTTTTTGTTCTCCTGTTGTCGTTTCTTTGTTTTCTAGTGTTTTCTTGCCGTTGCCTGTTCCTCTGGGAACGTTTGGGTGTTGATTTTGGGTCTGAGCCTCTGGCTTTAGGCTCAGTGCCCCTGGCTGGTATGCTTGCTCCCACACCTTGCCCCTCGGTTTTCGGTCTGTTGGGACCGTTTTCCCAGGGCGTTCTGCTGGGGTCTGTGCTTTGCCTTTTAGTGGTGTTCTCCGCCGGCAAATGTGGTGGTTTGGGCTCCCCCTGGTTCGATTCTGGGTTCCTTTGGGTTCCTTGGTTTCGTTCTGGAGGTTTCTTCCTCTTGGGCCCCCTTTTGTGGGTTCAGGGGACTTTGTTTCCTCGTGTGACCCGGTTCTGCCTTTTGGGGTTCCGGGGTCTTCCTGGCTTGCAGACTGAGCTTTTTGGGTCTTGGCACATGTTGTGGTTGTGCTGGGACTTTGTGGTTTTGCTGTTGAGGTGGGCCTTTTGATGCAGTTTTGTGCCTTCTTTGCCTGGCCGGCGTAGTGCTCTTTGCCACTAGTCGGCGGCTTGTGCTTTTACAATGTATGTCCTCACCTAGTTGTGCTTGTGGGGGTTGAGCTCTGGCTCCTTGGTCCTGCCTCTCACCCGTCCGTCAACAGGTGTATCGGTTCCTGTGCCTCTTGGGCAATGTCTACATGTGACATTGTATGGGGGTCAGCCTCGTTACTTGTGTGAGGAGTCGCCACATTACTTCTTAGTGCTTTCCCGTTCCCATTCTGACACTAAAAAGAAAAAAAAAAAAAAAAAAAAAAAAAAAACTAATTCTATCTGTGGCTCTTTTGGGTACTCAGTTTCCACCTGTGTCCCCTAGTGCGTGTGCCCCTTGTGTTACATATCCTGTCCTTCTCAACCCTGTCGATTCCCTTGGGTATCTTGTATGTGGTGATCAGGTCTCCCCTCACTTCCTCTTCCAGCGAAGTGTGGTTTCATTCCCGTAGTCTCTCCTCATGACTTCGGTAGTGTACTTTTTCTTTCTGAAGGGGTTCTGTTCCCTTCTCTGTTGACTGGGCGCTGGGGGAGCAGCTTGCTCTGTTGCCTCTCGCTTGGTCCCGCTGTTGGTGGGCGCTTTGGGTTGTCTTCCGGCCTCTGCTGGCGTCGGAGGACGGCTTCTCCCCCTTGGGGGGGGTTCAGAGCTGGCGGGGTGGGCTTCTTCCCTGCGCTTCGTCATTTCCTCTTCGTGGGTGCGTGGGGCGTGGTCGGTCCGCCCCATCCTTCTGGGCTTCCCGTCTGCTCTTTGCAGTCATGAGCTTTTCCAGTCTGCAGTTCTTCTGGACTACTTCCGTCTGCGCCCTGGATCCTCTGCCCTGCTCGGAGGACTGTTGTCTCCTGTTCGGATTCTGTTAGGGCCGGGTGCATGGAGGGTGGACCTGGACCTCCGGGTCACTTCTTGGCACGTTCCTCTCCAGTTTTTCTGGGGCTAGCACGGTTGGTAATTACCTATGTGTACTTATCTAAGTGTAGTTACAGGATGAGAGCTACTCTCGTGGTGTCCCGTCTTCCCAGCACTCTTTGTCATATAATGCTTTGATTATAATTGTCATATTGTCATATAATGATTGTCATATGTCATAATATGTCTTCATATGATTGTCTTACAATGCTTTGGTGGTGGGGCTTCAGGTTTGCTGTTTTTATTGCATTCCCTATTTTGTAAAGGGCACTTTGTATACTCTTTGCGTCTTTACCGGATCTTAGTGCCCTGTCTGCGTCTGAGATTCGGTGTCTGGCCTACCTCGACGACTGGCTGGAGTGGGCTCCCAGTCAGTCCGCTTGTCTGCTCGCCAGGGGATGGTTCTTTCCAGATCGCTGGGTTTGGTTTCCTGGTGATCTGGAGGTTTTACCTTCTGTTTCCGTCCCGGGTTCGGACCTGGGCCTTGTTTCAGGCTCTTGGGCCCCTCATTGTCTTCCCTCCAGAAGTGTTACTGTGGCTGTGGTCCCGCCTTTGGCTGTTCGGGAGGGGGTCCCGGGTTGCTCAGCGGTTGCTTGGGCGGTTGTGCGGGAGTTTGCACTTCGGCGTGCTTGTCTGCCCGCGGAGTCGGGTTTGGCTCCGGCGTCGGTTGGTTCCTACGGAGACTCCACTTCCGCCTCTTGCATTCCTTGGGTTCCTCTGGGGATCTGGTGTTGGTGCTGCGTCACCAGCTTCCTCTTTGGGGTTTTCGGGGTTCCGTGCCTTGGCGGCTCCCCGAGCCTTCGCTCGATGTGTTCACGGACGGGTCGTCTCTCGGCTGGGGCTTTGTGACCAGTGCTCACCAGGTCGGCCGAGGTTGATGGAGTCTGTCCGTCGGGCTCACAGCCCGGTTCAGGTGTTCATGGCTGTCTGGTTTGCGCTTCGGAGGGTTTGGGTCCCTAGGTACTCTACCATTCAGCTCTGTTTCGACTGTTCTCCGGTGGTTCTTGCCTGAACCACAGGGGGTTTGGTTAACCGTGTGGTTCGTGTCCGGGGTGTGTCCTGCGTCCTGGTGGACAGCTGTCTCGGTTCATTCCTCTTCGTGGGTTGGCCAGTCGTCGCCGATGCGTTTTGTTGGCTCTGTTGGGCTTATGGACTCATGGCCATGGACGTCTTCGGGTCGGCGTGGTCTAGGCGTCGCCCGTTTTGTGGCGCCCTTCCCACCTGCGAGGACTTCACGGTGGAGGCTTTCGGCAGGCCTGGTCGAGGTGGGGGGTCCCTGTACCTCTTCTCCCGGTCCAGCTGTTGCTTCGGGTTCTGGCTCAGTTGCAGCCCATTCCCACGAGAACAGTCCTTATGGTTCCACTGTGGCCGGCCCGGCCTTCTTTTCAGACGCTGCTTGATAGGTGTCCGTACCCGGGTCGTTTTTCCTGAGACTTCGCATCTTTCAGCAGGCCGAATCGGTCCTGTCAGTGACTGGTTCGCCCTTCTCTTTGGCTCTTCGCGTCTGGTATTTTGACGCGGGTATCGCCATCTCTATGGTGTTCAGGTGGCTTTGTTGACGGTGTCCCACCTGCGAGCTTCGTCTTGGAGACTGTATGACGTTTATTGCGTCTTCTCGCGTTTTGTTTCCCCTCCGGCCTGCTCATGAGTCGCCTGAGCCATCCTGGTCCTTGTTCCGGGTGCCTTCTTCTCTTCCCCTCAGTTTGTGGTAGCCCCTTCGGTTTCAGTTTCCTCCTCTTTGGTACTGGTGGTAGCTTTATTGGGGTGCAGCCTTTCTCTGTCCTGGCGACGGTCGAGACGGCTGCTTTCCGGAGGGGTTCTTGGGGTATTGGTACTTGTTTGGTTTGGCCGGGGGGTGCGTCCTGTGTTGTCCAGTTGTGCTTTTTGCTGTTGCCGGCGTACCGTGCCTGGGGATGCGCTGTGGTTGATCCGGTTCCTTCGTTCCCTGTTTTCAGGGCTCGGGTCTCCCGGGTCGTCCGCAGTGTTTTCCTTCTTACTGCGGTCTGTCTTTGCGCCCGTGCTGTTCAGACGTTTGCAGCAATTGCTGCTGTGTTGGTGACGTCTCGGGCTCATTTCGGGCGCAGGGAATTGTGGGTCGCACAGGTTTTTGGCCGCCCATCCATGTGTGCGTCTGTTCTTGGGCGTTCTTGTTGCCTTGGGTCGCAGGTTTGCGACCGGTTGTCTTGGCTTTGCGTTGCAGAGTTTGTGGCGGCCGCCTCCCGGGTTAGCCCTTTCTTTTCCTTCTCTTTGGGTATGAAGCTCCAGGGAGCCGTAGGGGCTCCCCACAGAAAACCAGCGTTGAATGTAATGAAACGCCATTTTCTGGGTGAGCCCCGGAGGCTCCCTGGAAACCCTCCCTCCCACCGGTCGGCGGTTTTTTCGCGTTGGTTGATGCTTAGCTTCCGAACTGGAGCTTGGCAGCCGGCGCGGTAGGTCCGGGGCTCCCCCCTCCCCCTCCCGGGGTGGGGAGGGCTGCGCGGACGATCGGCGCGGCAGTAAAGTGTGATGTTTGCTTGTTTCCTTGGGATTGTAGGGAGTTTTCTACCTCTCTGTTCGGTTTTTGTTGTAGTTTCTTACCATGTGGGGTTTGTTTTGTTACGCCTACCTTTCTGGGTGCCTAACCCCGGTCGATGGCAGATAAGGAAAACCCCCAACCATATGGGGTTTTCCAGGGCCATTGCTCCCTGAAACCTCTCTGAAGGGGCCAGGTTCTGGCGCTGGTCCCTGGTAGGTCTGAACTCCTTAGCTAATGTCCCGGTCTAACATAACACACATTAGCCCGATAAGCTCCAGGGAGCCTCCGGGGCTCACCCAGAAAATGGCGTTTCATTACATTCAACGCTGGTTTTTTAACACATTTAGTCCCTATTAAAGGCCTTTTGTTTTATTGGGTGCAGGTTAAAAAGCTTTTTAGTTATTTTAGAGTACTGTAAGTACTGTAATAATTCAGTTATTTTAGAGTAATGTGATTATAATTTTTTCTGTACCTGTACTTGCACCACTTGCTTTTGATCAGATCTATCCTGAAACCTCTACTCCCTCTCATTCACTGAGTCAATATTCCCCTGTTTGTAGTCCAAGTAATTTATGGTACAGTAATCCCATTAACTTAAGCATTTCCCCAGACTTATAATAGTAAAGATCTTTGAATAATTTCTAGCTCAGAAATTTCTTCTACTTTGAATGGTAATATTAACACACAACAGTATTTGACTCAATCAAGTATTATTGGCATGACTAGAACACCACTGTTGTGGTTCCTTTTAATGAAGTTATCAAAACTTGTCCAGTTATTTTCTTTATGGTGGCTATTTCCTTTGAGATATTTGATATTTTGTATAGACAACTATTCAAACACTTGTATCATTGAGGCCTTACAAGTATTGGTACAGGATAGTAAACCAAAATACTGTACAGATGACGTATTTATCGATTTTACAAAAATATAAATATGGTCATGGAATAATGGCTAATAAAAAGACAGCTCAGAAAATGACATACAATACACTGAAGCAGGGAGGAGCATTTTCAATTTTTTTTAACACAAAGAGCATTAGAAAAATCAAGAAAAATTTGGTCTGAATGATACAAAACTTAGTCCCATAAGTTTAAATAAGTTTCCCATAAAAACTCAGCCACCAGCCGGTGGCTGAGCGGACAGAACACTGGGCGAGTGATCCTGTGGTCCCGGGTTCACTCCCAGGCAACAATGGGCAGAGTTTCTTTCACCCTGATGCTCCTGTTACCCCAGCAGTAAATAGGTACCTGGGAATTAGTCAGCTGTCATGGGCTGCTTCCTAGGGGTGGAGGCCTGGTCAAGGACCGGGCCGCGAGGACACTAAGGCCTGAAATCATCTCAAGATAGATCTCAAGATAAGGTATCGTTCTTGCTTCATTACTCTTATCTCATCCTCACAGCAGATACAGACAGAAACACAAAATTCCATTGAGTATTACTAATGTGTAATGTGGCAAATTTTATTTATCCTTTGAAATTTTATGTTGTATTTAATTATCAGTTATGTGTAATAATGTGCCTTAAACAGCAAATGAAATGAAAAAATATACCGTATTGAACTTACATGAGGTAATATTACGCATCAGATCTGTTACTTCTGTCATCTCTCTTCTTCTGCGTTCTTCCTCACCACCATTGCTGAGGCTGTTAATGGAACAAGCACCAAATTAACCATCTATGTGTGTTAATAAATGGGTTTATTAAATAATGCCAGATTAAATTATTTTATTAAGCTGTGCACTTTTAAAGATAAAAAATACATGAAGTTAATATTGGAAAAGCCTTTGTTACCTTCATTATACAGTAAAGTGAATGTTTAACAATTTCAATGACTCTGAAATGACTATCATACCAAAAGCTTTTCTTAAAACAGTACCATTATAAATGTTATTATAATCTGGACATGGAAGTAGGTTCACACCTGTGTGGTGGTATGGGGGGAAGCGGTTGCTGTTGTTTGGGTGGAAGTGGGTGTGGTGGGGGTGTGTGGTGACTACTGCCAGAGCTGCTTGCTGGTGTTCCTCCCCCACTACCATGTGCAGGAACCTGTGGGGGTGGCAGCAGTAATGGGGTGCGTGTCACCTCTGGTGTGCCCTGTGAACCACTGTGGCCCCCACTACTGCCCAAGCTGCCCTCTGCTGTCACACTGTCTTCATCACTGTCTTCCGAGTCTGATGATAAAAGCACATTAAAGTCTACTCTCATCTTGGTGTTTCTCTACAGTACTGTCAACACTTTGTATTCTTCACTACAGTACAAAATATATTAGAAAAAATACTATTACTTGAATAATATACAAAATGACATTACCAGAATCTCTGTGATGTCTGTCCGGGGATCTTGCTGTCATAACCGAAGATCGCTTGGATGGTAGTGGGAGGTTCTTGGGGCGAGTCTGATACTGTGCAAGGGCCTCTTTTACCGCCTCTTGACGCACCTCTGTCAAATATAAAATTTAAAGTTAAAAAAAAATTTAGAAAAACTTATTTGTTTTATATATTAGAAATTCAAGAGGGAAGATGAACTCTACTATGTTTCCTTTTAATAATACAGATTAATTTTATCTAAAATGTTTACCAGCACAATTACTTTTAAGATTTAACATTACAATAAACAGCTAATATAAGATTACAAAAAATAGCTAATATAAGATTACAATAAACAGCTAATATAAGATTACAAAAAATAGCTAATATAAGATTACAATAAACAGCTAATATTTTAACTAATTTAAATACAAAATAAAAAAATAATTTAATAATATTAACTCATGAAGCTTTCATTACAACTGAAAAAATAGCTATGAAGTAGGCCAACACAAACTTACAAAAAATCTGTATATCAGACACAAAATTCAGACATTTAATAATTGTGCAAAAAATATGCAAAACATATTTAGCAATATTTTATTTATTATCAGTGACACATGCATGTGGTGTTCTATAGACCTACCTGTTTTAATGAAGGCCTGATTCAAAATAAGTAAAAGTACAACTGCATTTACCTGAGCATGTTAGCAGGCCACTGGGATATTTGTATATTTTTATGATGAGGATGGGGGACCTGAAACTAATTCCAATTGCAAGTACTGTATAATGAACACAGTATAGTACATAAATAGATTTGTAACTTACAGATCTTACACAGGAACACAACTGATATTACGTAGGCCTACTAAAGCCTAGATTAACAATGCTGGATTAGGCTGCTTGGCAGTGCAAATGTGAAGAAGGCATTGGAAACAATGAGGAAGTATTGGAGAGGGAACAAATTTGCAGATATTTATTCTAGGCAGGACCTAATCTTCAAACTAAGCCACTGGTGTCGTATAAGTTGTTGTTCAGCCCATCCTCCTAAGGTTTCCCAACGTCAAGAAAACGGTCAATTTAAAGTGGCCTCTCCTACCCTACCAGAGGACCCAAAACAGAAAACGGGACAGTACGTAATTTTCGCTAGCCGCTTCAGTTTTCTAATACGACAATTTTTGGCCTTATGTAACGCATACGTGCGAAATGCGACGTTCTTTGTAGGGCAGGTTGTGTTGTTGATGAAGTTACGGGCGGCGACGAAACGACGTATACACCCCGCCGAAAAAAAAATCGAGAGCAAAACTAGCCAGACGGCAAAAGAAAACCGCCAGTGGCGCTGACTACCTGGCGACACCCGAATACCTCCGGCAGGACAGGCACCAGCAACCGACGCCACTGGGTAACAACCCCGGCAGAGTGAGAGGTAGGCGCCCTCCACGTCTAGAGGAAACACAGGAGCCTTCAGGGCCCGCTGGACTCCAGCACTTCTAGACCAAGCCGGCTCCAGACTCCCGCTCGACGCCCGAGGTGCAAGCCGGAAAATGTTATAAAATCTATGAACGCCTCCGTAACCATATAGACACCAGGCGTCGCAACCATCCAGACAGTTGAATGAACGTGCCTTACGGCAAAATGTAACCCTGTGAGCAGGAAAAGCGAAACGTTCCCCACCGACGACCCCTGAGTGGAGCAGAAGTCAGGCGTCCGAACAGCGACAAGGTTGAACCAGGAATCCCACCAAAGGGTTATAATCTGTTTATTTGCAAAACACATATGCACATGTTCCCTCTACTCACTAAGAACGTGAAAGAAATTTACCTTTGTGTTTTCCTAGAGTTGGTCTTTTGCCGAATCCCACAATTAACAAAATCACATTGCTATATACTTTCATATCAATAAAATATGCAGCACGCTAATGATCATGACCTGATATATAAGGATGCCATGATTTTATAACCATCGCTCTCGTTAGTCACGTATTTATCAAATGAATCTACAGGCGACGACATAATACTCATATCTTTTATTTCTCATTCATCTGTTGGATGTTTTACGTAATATCTTAGGTAAGTAAATTATTTGTTAAAGGTTACTCACCTGTGTTAAGTTCGACAAACAGCTCCAGTAACCAGTACCAGTGACATTGTAACAACTTATCAGTTCGTGAAGTTTGAACCTATATCCACTGTCTGTCTGTCTGTCTGTCTGTCTGTCTGTCTGTCTGTCTGTCTGTGTGTGACCCTTCCGCTACCACCACATGAAAGGTACATGGTACATAATATATAGAAAATTATATTTAAAATGGTATTAGGCTGGTTGTAAATAGGTTCACGTGTGACTTCCAAACAAGTACCGGGAAGGCACGTCGATATTATTAACTTACCTGGCTTTGTCACGTTGCTTCTGGTCATGACGAAAGCAAAAATATATATAAACTTTCCAAGAGGAGCAGCTTAAGACAGAACGAGACCAAGAATTCATCAAGTTCCACGCTCCAAGCTGCTTCTAGGTTTCCTCTACGACTCCCCAATACCACAGTCCCTGTTACGAGCAAGTATATAGACTTCCACAGCTATATACAAACTACACGTCAAAACAGTATGAAGCCAGCTGACAACTGGCGGATGTAATGACAATGACCTCGACAGAGACGGAAGCATCATCATCACCGACGTGACGTCAGGAGCCAGATGACACTTGTAATTATACTAGATAACACTTTCTGACTAGGTCTCCTAAACAAAGGGGAGACTTCAATCTCATATCAAACGAATTCTAGTAACAAGTTTAATCCGTTGGTTTAATTGCTTTATAACAATGCTAAGAATTGCCAATATAAGGTGCTTTACCATGATAAAAGTACTGCAGGTATCTTTAGATCTTTGGTAACCAGCTGCGTACAGGAAACTGTGGGACACAAAGAAGTCATCACTATGGGGCACAAGAAAGGAGGGCGAGGTACATTACCCACTACCTGTGACGCCCCTACACCCACACATGCTACACAGACCCTCCCACCCACGACACCCACATACGTTACACAGACCCTCCCACCCGCGACACCCACATACGTTACACAGACCCTCCCACCCGCGACACCCACATATGCTACACAGACCCTCCCACCCGCGACACCCACATATGCTACACAGACCCTCCCACCCGCGACACCCACACATGCTACACAGACCCTCCCACCCGCGACACCCACACATGCTACACAGACCCTCCCACCCGCGACACCCACATATGCTACACAGACCCTCCCACCCGCGACACCCACACATGCTACACAGACCCTCCCACCCGCGACACCCACACATGCTACACAGACCCTCCCACCCGCGACACCCACACATGCTACACAGACCCTCCCACCCGCGACACCCACACATGCTACACAGACCCTCCCACCCGCGACACCCACATATGCTACACAGACCCTCCCACCCGCGACACCCACACATGCTACACAGACCCTCCCACCCGCGACACCCACATATGCTACACAGACCCTCCCACCCGCGACACCCACACATGCTACACAGACCCTCCCACCCGCGACACCCACATATGGTACACAGACCCTCCCACCCGCGACACCCACATACGGTACACAGACCCCCCCACCCGCGACACCCACATATGCTACACAGACCCTCCCACCCGCGACACCCACATACGTTACACAGACCCCCCCACCCGCGACACCCACATACGGTACACAGACCCCCCCACCCGCGACACCCACATATGCTACACAGACCCCCCCACCCGCGACACCCACATATGCTACACAGACCCTCCCACCCGCGACACCCACATACGTTACACAGACCCCCCCACCCGCGACACCCACACATGCTACACAGACCCCTCCCCCTCCCCCTAACCTCAGCCATCACCAAGAAAACATCCTTAAGCTACCCAAGCCACAGATCAGTAAGTTTGTTTTTTACCTGCAAATTTTGTATGTGTGTACAACCGTCATCTCAACTAATGCGCCTCATTTTGTAAGCTCTGCTCCCTAACGTACAAAATAATGGGTATTATGAAAAATAACGGCTCACAAATATCCACGTTTTCTATGCGTACGTTGGTTAGGTTAGGTAGGTGGTTTGTGTTCGTGCGTAATATATTTAGTGTTGTGGGAAATCTAGACAACGAGCGGGTGAGTATGCATGAGTAACCCCCCCCCCCCTGCCCCCTCCATCATCTCACCACAAGGATGATTCATAACCTGTCCTCTCGCATAACACATCGTATTCTGAAGTAAAAATCCCAAACGTCAAAGTAAGATGTATCGAAAACCACAGCGGCTCGCAAAACTGACGTGATGTCCCGTTTTCTATTCGTGGGTCCAAGGTTACCACAATGGGAAAACTAATGACTGCAGTTCGGGTACAACTGAACACTTCGCTTTCCTCCGTTCCAGATGTTAAGGCTGTGATATGACACACTTTGTACTGCAATTTGTGCTCTTCGCCTGAACACATCTGACATTTATGGATTATAACTCTTGCTAAAGTGTAATTCACTGGAGAACAACTATATATAGTTCTCGAGTTTCCTATCAGTATGTATCAGAACATACTGATACACACTGATGTTCTTATCAGAACATAAATATAAAGCTGTAGTCACTGAAAATTAAGGGGCCTGACAGCTGAGTGGACAGCGCTTCAGATTCGTAGTCCTGAGGTTCCGGGTTCAATCCCCAGTGGAGGCGAAAAAAATTGGGCAGAGTTTCTTTCACCCTGGTGCCCCTGATACCTAGCAGTAAATAGGTACCTGGGAGTTAGACAGCTGCTACAGCTGCTTCCTGGGGATGTGTAACAAAAAGGAGGAGGTCTGGTCGAGGACCGGGCCGCGAGGACACTAAGCCCCGAAATCATCTCACGATACCTGGTTACTTGGTTGATGGGGTTCTGGGAAGTCTTCTACTCCCCGAGGCCAGGCTTGACTTGTGAGAGTTTGGTCCACCAGGCTGTTGCTTGAGCGGCCCGCAGGACCACCACAGCCCGGTTGGTCCGGCACTCCTTGGAGAAATAAATCTAGTTTCCTCTTGAAGATGTCCACGGTTGTTCGATAACTGAGTAATACGTAAATTTGTTTGTATTTCGAAGCAAT